ATTTACTTTAGATACTTTCTGTTCAAGAGCAAGTTTCACAGTCTCTTCTGACATACATTTTGGTCTTTTCTTCCTTTCCTGTCTTTTCAATCACCTTTTTCTTTCTTCGTGTATAATATTCTTGAAATCATCCCACAATTCACTGGTTTTTGATCATTGATGTTCAATCCATCAAATCTATTCTTTAAATGGTCTCTAAATTCAGATGGGATATAATCAAGGTCATATTTTGGCTCTCATGGACTTGTTTTAATTGTCTTCATCTTCAACTTGGACTTGAATCTGCCCAGTTGATGGTCTTTTCCACAGTCAGCTCCTGGCCTTGTTTTGGCTGAAGATATTGAGCTTCTTCATGGCCTCTTTCCACAGAGGTAGACGATCTGATTGCTGTGTATTCCATCTGGTGAAGTCCACATGTATAACCACTGTTTATGTTGTTGAAAAAAGGTATTTGCAATGGATAAATTGTTGGTCTTACAAAATTCTATCATGCAATCTCCAGTGTCACTTCTATCACCAAGGCCATATCTTCCAACTTTTGGTGATTCTTCTTTGTTTCCAACTTTTGGATTCCAATCATCAGTAATAATCAACACATCTTGATTGCATGTTTGGTCAATTTCAGGCTGCAGAAATTGGTAAAAATCTTCAATTTCATCATTTGTGGCTTTGGTGGTTGGTGTGTAAATTTGAACAATAGTAGTATTAACTGGTCTTCCTTGTAGGCGTATGGATTTTACTCTATCACTGACAGCATTGTACTTCAGGATAACTCTTAAAACTTTCTTTGTGATGATGAATGTCATGGCATTTCTCTTCAATTTATCTTTTCTGACACAGTAGATCATATGGTTGTCTGAATCAAAATGGCCAAAACCAGTCATTTCAGCTCACTAATGCCTAGGATATTGACCTTTATGTGTTCCATTTCATTTTTGACAACTTCCAATTTTCCTAGATTCGTACTTCATACATTCCATGTTCCAATTATTAACGAATGTTTGGAGCTCTTTCTTCCCATTTTGAATTGTGCCACATCAGCAAATGGAGATCCCAGAAGCTTTACTCCATCTGTGTCATTAAGGTCGACTCCACTTCGAGGAGGCATCTCTTCCCCCAGTAGTATTTTGAGTGCCTTCTGACTGAGGGGCTCATCTTCTGGCACTATATGGAACAATGTTTTAGGGCAGTTCATAAAGTTTTCCAGTAATATATCAGACAGTACTGGCCAGTTCTTTGAGAAGTGTATGACACCTTACTTCTTCCAAGTCTGCCTTACTTTAGAAGCACCACTGAAATTTGTCTACCATGGGTGACCCTGCTGGAATTTGAAATACTGGTGGCATAGCCTCTAGTCTCACAGCAACACACAAACCACTACAGTACAACAAACTGACAGACAAGTGGTGGACAGGTGTGATACTTAGTCTTAATTATGTAGTCTATGGGCAAAGTGGCAAAATGGTGCTGGAGGCAGAGTTGATAAATTCATGTGGCATCTAGCCTTGGTGATGTGGCTTGTTGAAATGAGTTTTCATAATGGTATAAGTTAGTTTCTTTGAATTTTAGTGTGACATTGTTGGGATTCTATAAGGCTTAGTGGTATTGCCACCTGGATGGTTGAATACCATAACCCTGAAGATTTGAGAGCCATTTTTATAAAATATTGCCCATCCTAATATGTAACAGAATATCTGGGTGAGAAGATAGTATTTGATCTTATTATTATAAGTTATATCTTGTATACTATTTATATGTCAGTTTATTCATTTTGCCAAATGTCAAACTAAGTGCTCTTTAGGAATATTTCAAATATCGAACAAATTCTCTTATGGTTCCAAACCAAACCAAACTAACAGCCATTGAATTGATTCCAACTCATAGCGACCTCCATTGGGTTTCCAAGATTCTAAACCTTTATGGAAGCAGACTGCCTCTTCTTTCTTCTGCAGAGCAGCTGGTGGGTTCAAACCACTGACTTTTGGTTAGCAGCCAAATGCCTTAACCACTACCCCACCAGAGCTCCTTTTCTGTTATGATTACTTGTGTATATTTATTTTACTTAACAATTTTAGAATAAGCTTGAGCACTTTTGACAGTATGTGGGTAATGATAGTAGGATTCCATTATATTTGTTGAGATTGGGATTAGAGTCTGTGGGAGTCAGATTTATGTCCCCCCCCCCCAAAAGTCCATATCCTAATCCTCAGAACCTGTGTACATGTTACCTTCTGTGGCAAAGGGACTTTCCAGATGCTATTGAGAATGTGGACTTTGAGCTTGGGAAATTATCCTGGATTATCCCTATTCATTCAGTTTAATTACATGAGTCCTTAAAAGTGGAAGAAGGAGATGGAAGAACAGGTCATAGAGATGTGACATGAGGACTCAACCTGCTGTTATTGGCTCTGAAGATGGAGAAAGGTGGTTAGGAGATATATGGGCAGCCTCTAGAAACTGGAGAAACAAGGAAATGGATTCTCCTGTAGAGACTTCAGAAAGGATGCAGTCATGCTTATACTTTGATTTTTAGTTCAGTAAGACCTACACCATACTTCTCATACACAGAAGTAAAATTTTTGTTGTTTTAAGCAACTAAGCTTGTGATAATTTGGTATAGTAGCAATAGGAAACTAATAGATAATTACATCTTTTTAATACCAAGCCATCCCATCTAGAAACAGTTCAAATTTTCTATTTATTTAGATTTTATATCCCTTAGTAATATTTTAAATTGTCTTTCTAAAGCTTGTGCATATTTTGTTAAATTGTGAATTAACATTTTAAAGCACAAAGTGGATCTCTCCCTCAGCTGATTTCTACAGCTTTCAAAAGCCTTTGGATCCTCAGTATGTCCTTTGAGAATCTCCATGATTTCACTTCTTCCTCCTTTCAAGCCTTATCCTTTGCTACTTTGCACCATATGTTACCCCCATGGTAATTTTGCTTGTGACTAGGGGTGAAATAAAAATATAGAATGCCTAATTAAATCATTTGTAACAAGTAATAATTTTTTATGCTCAGTGCCATATTTTTCCTTTATCTCAATGTATATAGGCATAAACCAAGAATACCAAACTCGCTACTATTTAATCAATTCCAACTCATGGTGACCCCATGTGTTACAGAGTAGAACTGTTCCATAGGGTTTTCTTAACTGTAATAATTATGGGAGCAGATTTCTAGGCCTTTCTTCTGCAGCACCACTAGGAGTGGCCTTTGAACTGCCAATCTTTAGGTTAGTAGTCCAGCACAAATCATTTGCACCTTGTGTATATGCATAAAACCAAAAACCAAACTCACTGCCATTGAGTTGATTCGACTCATAGCGACCCCTCCTTGGATTTCTGAGGCAGTATCTCTATGGAAGTAGATTGCCCAATCTTCCTTCTGAGAAGTGGCTGTTGACTTTGAACCACCAGCCTTCTGGTTAGCAGTCAAGTGTCTTAGGCACTATGCTACCAGAGCTCCCATGTATATGCATAGGTAATTAGAAATTAAAATTTAACTGGGCATTTAATGTTTTTATTTGCTGTATCTGGCTCTCCTACTCATGATCTTTATAAGCTTCTCTTTCACCTTACTCTCTGACTATAGAGATCCTTCAAGACTCAATCAAATACCAACTTTAAGTGAAACCCTTCTACATTTTTACTTTCTTCATGGAATTGATTGGTTGCATGTCTTTCAGATAAACCTTGTGGAGCATTTATTCTTCTCCTTTTGTCCATAATGCCTCATAACTATTAGAGCCTCAATAAATATTTACAGAATAAGTGAATAAATACTAGGAATTAATCATTATGAGGTGAAGTAAATCTCATAATGAAGATTATTGGTAAGCTAAGATGGACTTTATAAAAAAGTAAATTTAAGGTAATGTAAACTTTATTTTTTCCTAAATAACATGGCTTTGTGTTTGCCATGAAAATACATTTAGTAAATTAGAAACTCCATATAAAATTGTTGCATGCATCAGCTAAAAGTGAGAAACCCAAACCAAAATATTTTTACTCTGAAGCTGTGGATACCAAAAAAACCAAACCAAACTCACTGCCATTGGGTTGGTCCCAATTCATAGTGTCTCCTCCTTGGGTTTTTGAGCAGTATCTGTATGGAAGTAGATTGCCCAGTCTTCCTTACAATGAGTGGCTAGTGGGTTTGCACCACCAGCCTCTGGTTAGCAGCTGTGGATAGCTAACAAAACATTTTCACTAGTGTCTCAGACAGAATCAGTGGCTCTATGAGGCAAGTTCTCAGAATTAAATATGAATGTAGGATACTAATATTTTCCCCTTTGGATAAATTGAGATGAAATATGCAGGGGTCATGGCCAATGAAGCAAAATGGGAACAGACCTGAATTTTTAAAATTTGGGTGAAACAGAATGATAACCAGAATGGGAAAAATTACAGGGTGAAGCTTTGGAAAAGTGAGCCTTTTCAGGAGTCTGATGATATTGGATTATTGTTAAGACTGTGGAGAGTGAAATATATTCAAAATGGTATGGTCAGCCATCTTTGAGAAGGTCACTGCTGTTCTGATCTGCCAGTCAAGAGATTTGGTTGCTTTACAATGTACATACTACCTTTGCTTTCTAAGAGGGAGACTAAGATTCTAGAAGGGCTTCACCCATAATTTTTTCCATTCCAGCTATCATTCCAGTTAACCTATATTTTGAAATATTAGGGCTGTTTTGTTGTTGCTTTATTGGCCGTGACTGGACTGAGAAGAACCAGTTTGAAGCCCGGGAGGTATGTAGTAAATGAAGTTTGAAATTATTTGCTAGAATTGATTTCCCTCTTTAAAATCCAAGATGTTTGTCCTAATAGACAACCATTAGAAACTGAGCTCCAGGACAACTATGATTATTGGAGTTGATACTAATCAACTTTCCTCAAGAACCAAAATTGGATAGCTAGGTAAAATTCTGAAAAGCAATGTAGCAAGAATTTCCCTGAAAAGACTTATGCTAAGCAATGCCCACCATAGGACAGGGCTGACTTACTGTTACATCGGGAGACAGCAATGTGTTTAAGGCCTTTCATCATTTCAACTCCCACATTGGACCTTCAAAAAATAGGATGATTAATTAGTCTTTTGCCTGTCCACACAATGCAAATAACATGACTCACCTGCTTGGGAGAGAAGGATGATTTTAAACTATCATTGTTGATGTGAAGTTTAGATATATTGTTATTGTTATTATGTGCCGTTGAGTTGGCCGTGAGTCATAGCGACTCCTCCTTGCGTTTCCGAGGTGGTATCACTATGGAAGTAGATTGCCCAACCTTCCTTCTGAGGAGTGGCTGGTGGGTTTGAACCACCAGCTTTCTGGTTAGCAGT